TTACAGCCACTGTCCTTGACTGTGCTCAGGACACTGGCAAACCAATGTGAATACCAGGCTTCTGCACACCAGGCTCTGGCTGGGCATGAACCCTTTTAACTCTGAGGAACATTGTGGGGGTCCTGGGCCATGCCCAACATGGGGAGCCAACCATCATGCAAGAAGACCAAAACCCTGGATACATGGCTGGTTCTGGTGTAAAGAACATAGCCTAAACTCCCTCCCACCCCTGCCCAAAAGCTGCATAATCTGCCTTTGTGCTACACTTGAAGTTGGATCAACAGACATACACAGGTAGAGAGGATTGAGTGCTTCTGGAATTTGCCTCCGCAGTTTCTGCTGAAGAAGTCATCCTCTGCATCACCCCCAACAAGAACAACAACAAAATTCTCCTCTCTAAGCAAAGCCCAAATCACCAGCATCAGCAGCTTATTGAGGGAAGCTGGCAAATTAGCACCTCCAGACGCAAGGCAGGGTTCACCTCGGGCCGGGGCTCTGCCAGTACAACTTCCTCCATTTTAATAGTTTAATAAAAATTAGCATAATTAACGAACATCTGTATGATCCAGAGCGGTGCAATTTGGCACTCAGAAACGAGAGCTTAAACATTATTGCTGGGAGTTTAATGTTGTTTTAATTCTTTTTGGCACAGCGCAGGGAAATAAAGCGCCCAGCGCCGATGGTTCTCGGCTTGCGCTCATTTGCATTCCATTCTCCCTTTTTTTGATTATGAGCAATTGCTGGCTCCCCGGCAATCCATCAAAGCCGAAATTGTTTTAAAATACCTCACAGAGCTTTGGCCAAAGCAAAGCATGGAAGTTGGGTCAGATCTTAATCTTTACCTTCCTCATCCACCTACTATTCTCTGACTTCTCCCAGAGACCTTGAGCTTGGTTCACACATGCATGATGAACACAGTTTGTTTCCACTGTGCTTGGCAACTGTCACAGAATGTGTGAACTGAGCTAACTAAAAAACATTGTGCATGAACTGACACCAACTGATGTGAAAGAGGCCTGTGCGTGTAGTGATTAATCTGCAACAGCTCATTCACTGGGAAGGTGTTGCAGCCAACAAGTAATGAACACAGGTGAACAAAACAACCCATAGCCTTTATGCCGGAAGTGAGGAAGGTGTGGACCTCTGGGCATTGTTGGACTTCAATTCCCATCAACCTTACCTTTGGTAATGCTGAGTAGGACTGATGGGAGTTGTAATCTGGAGGTTGTGCCTGGAGGGTCACAACTGGCCCACCCCTGCTTTATATGGAGTACTGCTGGGTCTCAAGGTTGCCCTGAAAACCTCTTGGCTTACAGAGTTTAGTTCCTAGTCTGTTTATGACAGAGGAGTGCAGGGGGAGGTCCTAGAGAGGCAAGGACTATGCATATGCTCAAATGACCTCTCTTCTTTACTGTTGCTTCACATGACTCTGCAGAAGTTCAAGGAGTAAAGTGCATGACAGTGTGGCCCCACCCACTGGCTGTGGGCCAAAAACTGCTGGAAAGATGTTCTCCTACTCATAAGGCAGATGTTTTCCTGCCCATACAGACAGAATGTCCCTAACCACTGACTAAGAACCTGACAGTATAAGGAAGTCGCACATGTGTGCACTTTCCACGATTTCCAGCTCTTCACTATATTGTAACAAAATGCTCTGTCTATGGCCAAGTCTATAAAAGCAGCAAAGTTAAGTGTTAATGCTTTTTCAGAACTGTGCCACTTGAGATGGAGGTGAAGGAATGTATGTTTGAATATACCCCCATGGAATTAAAAAAAGGAAACATTCCCTTCTTCCTGATGTGCTGCTTTTCTATGTGCAGAGTTGTATCCTTAGAGGAGCACTTTATCAGGAGCTTAAAGTAGTATGATTGAGGAAAAGCTGGTGTTGATTGATTTGGTGATTATATATTATATAGCTAAATCTATATAGTTATGGATTACTGACTTATTTTAGCAATAGTTGCACCTGCCATTTTTTCCAATGTAGAATTCTAACTACAAGTCACTCTGAGGCTTGGGAATAAAGCAGGATGGATGGATGTTCCAGGCTGAATTGGGCACACTCTAAACAGGCTGTAGGGCTGGAACCCAGTTCAAATTAACCTCTGCCTTGTCTGTTTCGTTATTCTCAGTTTTCACCCTTCAAAGAGTGTATGCTTGTCTTTCGGCATGTTTAAGACAGGCATACACTACAGATTTGAATCCGTTTCAGGGCTGACCCCAGGGTGGAGGGTCCTTGGCCCATCATTGGCATGTGGCCCCACAAAGCTGCTCCCAAAATGAACTTGGCCTTTGGTCTGGAAGAGATTCTGTGCCAAGTAGTGTTCCAGAAAATGAGGATTTTGCACACCACCTGGTAAATATGTGTAGTGCCAAAGTGGAAAATATGCATAGTGAACAGGCAGCGTTATTCCCTGTTGGTGCTTTGTGTGCACCTTTCTCAACCTCATTTGGACACTAGGCATATTTGTTGGGCAGTATGGAAAATCCATACTCCATAAAAATTCATACTTTTTATGGTGCTCATTTCTGCACCTTCTTTCAATGTGTAGTGAATATTAAAAATGCCCAGTATTAATTAAGATTCACCACATTCAGTCTACTCCAATGTGCATATTTTGTTAGTAAAACTAGCAGTACCATGCATACATGCTTGCATAGTAATGATGGGTGGGGGAATTTTTTAAAATGTTTTCTGATCAGAACAGATATGTCAACAAGTTCCCTACAATCAGTTATAGAAAATAGAATCACAGAGATAAGTAAGTGCACCCCAAAGGATCATCTGGAATTCTAGACCTTCCCTTGGCCCAAATCATCTGTCCCTACAAGTGTCATGCCTTTTAAAGAGCTCCTAAAAGGGAGATTTTGCAGCCTTCCTGGGATAACTTGTTCCATTCATAAAATGCTCTGATAACTGGGGAATTCTTCCTAGTATTTAACACTGTATGATTTTGCTCCAGCTGTTGAATTAGGCTACAGTTTTAATGCATGTTTTAGCTCGTTTATCACATTGGTGGTTTTGGTTTTGTAAGCAGCCTTGCACACTATTTTAGAAGGAAGGTGTGATCTCTATTTAAATCTACTCCCTTGCAGTTTAAACTCATTTATTCCTGGTCTGTTGAAGCCCATGGATACCTAAAACCAGCAAAAAGTGCATTAGTTTGGCTTAAAGGCTTGCTGCTGCTGAAGAATAAGAACCAGGTCCAGCCATGACCCTCATTCATTCTCGGAGCCGGATTACTTTCCTATGAGGCTTCTGTCATTGGAGGTCTCCTACCTTTGGCATAGGGTAGTCTGTCGCTTGGCCCATGTGACCTGGTATACAGTGCTGCCACCTGTGCCCACTAGCCTCAGGTTCATGACAAGAACCAGTACCCTACTGTGCTTATTTGCCCCGGCCTACTTCCTTCATTGCTGCTCTGTAATCCACATCCTGAAAAACAGTAAAAGTTCACCACTTCCCAAGACAGGGGACCAAGAGTCAGTCTTCTGGTACCAAAATGCATGGGAGTACTTTCCTGTTCTGCAGTGGAGCCCACCCAGCTTGGTTGCAGCTTGCAGGCTACACTGCCCAAATCTGATGACATCCACATGAGCGCTCCTGGGGCATAAGCCAATATAAAGATGGCGGAAATCAAGACCAAGTGCAGGAGCAAGACATGGCTGGAGCCGCCTATCAAGGAAAAGATACTTGGAAAACAAGCACCCAGACTAGACCAAACACAGGATGGGGAAAGAGTTGGGATGCTCACAGGATGAGATGGTGACCAGGTCTTCAGCAGCCCACTGGAGTCCAGATTGCAGGCCAATGCCTTTCTCTAGAGAAGCAGCAAGCGCTACATGTAGCCTCCCTTGCTTACTCGGGCTGGGAGGATCCAGGGGAAAGCAGCAAGGCCACAGCAGGATGTCAGCTTGGGGTTTTGGAGTAGCTGAATTTAAGAAGAAATGTTTGGGTTGGGAAAATACCTCTGGAAGAACAATGGACTTCTCCATTAAATGTAATCCCCAAAAACCCCACCCAAACAGTGCTCAGCTAAGTGGGGAGGCATGTCCCCTTTCCCAGGCAGATCACACCCAGGCCAGGTGAAGATGTGTGCACAGCAATGCACCAGGCAATGCACCCGCAAGACCGAGAAGGGGACTGAGAGCCCCGTGGTCCTCCTCCACTGTGTATGTGGCTGCAGGGGACATAGCCATGCTTTGCTTGGGCCTATTTACACAGAAAACATAAGCAGGGACTGTACAGGTAAAGCAGCCTGATGGTGGTGGGCAAGAGTGCTGATGATGTTCTTTCACCCTCCGTGAAAGAAATTAGGAGGGTGGGTACTCGGAGGAGGGCTTTCTCTGCGGTGGCGCCTAAGTTATGGAACGCGCTCCCTAGAGAGGTCCGCCTGGCGCCGTCGTTATTTGTTTTTCGGCGCCAGGCGAAGACCTTTTTATTCAAGCGGCATTTTAACTGTTAGTATTACTAGATTTTATCTGGCCAGGGCGGCTTATTTTATATTGTATTTTTGTATTTTTAATTTAATGTTTATATTTATTGTAATTAATATTATAATTACTTTTAATTTATTGTTGTAAGCCGCTCCGAGCCTTCAGCAAATGGGGTGGCATAAAAATGTTTTAATAAATAAATAAATAAATAAATAAATAAATAAATAAATGATGCTGATGATGTATGTCAACCGTCTGTTATTAATAATAATCCTTAGCATATAGATGACATTTCATTTGCACCATCCCAGTGATTCTTGTAGCAATACTTTATAGTTGGTCAGTATAATGCCCTTAGTTCAGAGGGTGGTGCCAAGGCTAGAGATTTTGGGCATGTTAAAGAATGGGCAATGAATATTAATATTTCTGTTAAGAAAGCCAGTTTGGAAAACAATGACAAGAATTTGTGTGCACATAGTAAGGTCTGTGGCAGAGGTGGGCATCTAAGTCTGTCACATCAAGCTCAACTATTTCACCTAGTGCTGTCCTTCTTTTACTTCCAGGAATACAACATGTATGGCTGGTGGGTTGGAAAGCTGAACAAAATGGTGGGGATTGTCCCAAAGGATTATCTTATGCCTGCCTATGAGGTGGAAGAATGATGAACAGCAGGTAAACAAGGTTTGATATATGTTGCTATTACTGGGGTGGGAGATTTGGGGATTCATAGAATAGTAGGGTCATAAGGGGCCAAGAAGGCCATCAGGTCCAACCCACTGCTAGCTGGATGCCACGTCACACCATCCCACTCAGTCCAGTTTCACTTTGAATGCCTCTAGTGTGGGAGAGCCCACAACCTCTCTGGGCAACTGGTTCCACTGTTGCGTTGCTCTGACAGAGGTTTTTCCTACTGTCTAGCTTGAATCTGGTGCACTGCAGTTTGAGTTCATTGTTGCATGACCTGCACACGAGGATGAGTGAAACGTGGTCTTTTCCTTCTTTGTGTAGCCTTTGGGGTACTTGTTGAGTGCTATAATATCCCCTTGATAGTCTTCTCAAGGCTAAACATGCCCAGTTCTCTGCCTCTCATCATAGGGCTTAGTTTCCAGACCCTGGATCATCTTTGTTGCCCTCCTCTGAACCTTTCTAGTTTGTCTGCATCTTTTTCAAACCTGGGTGCCCAGAACTGAAGGTGAAGCCTGACAAGTGCCAAGCGAAGGGGAACAAGCACCTCTTTTGTCCTGGAAGTGTTGCTTGTATTTATGCATCCCAACATAGTGTTTGCCCTTGTTGTGGCTGCATCACATTGCTGGCTCATGATGAAAGAAGGAAGTGACACTGTAGGATCTTCTTCAGGTTTGATCACCTGGCACTGGGCAGTTCTTTGTAGCAAAACCTACCCTTTCCCTTGCACAGCTGCCATTCACTTCACTGGAGCTCTGGTTTCATAGGATTCCCCACCAGACTGCATCCCAAAATTCAGATCTCACTGACTCAGCTGACACAACCCGATAACCCATCATCCTGGATCAATTTCCCCAGAGAGGTTTACTCATGGCAGCAAACCTGCCCATAATCCATGGACTTTTCCAGGGGTTATTGTACAGTCTGAATTCAGAGAAACAACCACTTCATAGGCATGGGGAATTGACCACTAGGCCACTTGGCAAGAGTGACAAAAAAAAAACTTGCTAAGAACCTGATGGATGATCATCAATTGCAGCTGCCCCAGGAATTCCCAAGCAGAACCTGGGGCACCTGGCAGTGTCTTCCCCACAAACCAAGCTATTAAGAACATATGAAAAGCCATGCTGGATCAGACCAGTGGCCCATCCAGTCTAGTCACTCTGTTCACCCAGTGGCAAACTAGCTGTCCCCAAAATCCTCCAAGCAAGATGGGTAGAAGAGTTCTGCCTGCTCAAGCCCCTTAGCAACTGGGGTACACAAGCATGCCACCTCCGATGATGGAGGCAGCATATGTACCAGTAAGGCACATGTCTTAGGAAGGCTTGTAGCCATTGGTTTGAATTTGTCCAATCCTCTTTTGGAGCCATAGGTGGCCATCACTACTTCCTGCCACAGTGAATTCCATAGATTGACTATGTGCTGGGTGAAGAATCACTTCCTTCATCTGTCCTGAATCTCCCACCAATGAGGTTCATGGGATGACCCTTAGTTCTACTATTATGGGAGAGTATCTCCCTCTCTCCACAGCATGCATAATTTTAAACACCTCTTAAATGCTTTTTCTAAGCTAAACAATCCTAGTAACAGTCCTCAGAGGGGACTTGTTCGAACCCCTTGATCATTTTAGTTGTCTTTCTCTGCATTTTTTCCAACTCAGTAATATCCTTTTCCAACTGCAGCAACCAAAACCATACACAATATTCTAAGGGCAGTTGCACCAAAGATTTGTATAAAGGGAATATGTTCTTGGCAGTGTTATTTTCAATTCCTCTCTTAAGTATGGCTAACATGGAGTTTGCCTTCTTTGCAACAGCTGCACACTGGCTGTTGCACACTGTGACAACCCTAAGCTGTCCACCATAACCCCAAGATCCCTTTCTTGATCAGTCATTGCCTGCTAGCTTAGTGTGAGGTTCTGAGGCAGCACCAGGGCTCCCTCTTTTGGCCAGAGACCAGGATAGCATCCCTAGTGGTTGCAGGACTTGGCCCACAGTCAATCGCAGTCACCTGGGATGTTACGAGCACCACCTGCGAGCCCTGAGGGAAGAGCTATATAAGAACTGGCTCTTCCCTTCAGAGGCTGCCTCAGCAACAAAGGTTTTTTTGGTGTTGTTGGAGTGTCTGCCTGGTGCCTTGTTCCTGCCTCTAGACCATGCCTGGCTTTACCTGCTCTGCCTTCTGTTCCAGTCCCAGGTATCTGCTTTGCCTTGGCTTATTTCTCTGGCTTTTGACTCCTGACTGGCATTGATTGCTCTGCTTTACTTGAATGGACGCACCTGCCTTGACCTCTGGACTGCCTGACTATGATTTGGAATGGGCCTGTATATTGTACTGGTTGTCTAGGTCCTGGTGCCCTGACAGGATACCAAGCTGCCCATGCCCTGGGTGCTGACACTTGGATCCCACCAGCCTCCACTGGCGGATTTTCTGCCCCAACATGCATTACTTTTTTACTTGCATACATTGAACCACATTTGCTATTTTGATGCTCATTCTCCAAGCTTGGAGAGCCCCTCAAAATCCTTTTGTTTTAACCACCCTAAATAGTTTGATGCCATCAACAAACTTGGCCACTTCACTACTTATTCCTAATTCCAGATCATTTATGAATAAGTTGAATAGCATGGGTTGTAAGAGAACCCTATGGGGCCCCACTGGTTACAACCCTGCATTAGGAGAAATTGCCATTTATTCCCACTCTCTGCTTTCTGTCCTTTAATAAGTTACTGATTCATATGCAGTTACTGAATCATATGCACCCCCCCCCCCCAGTCCATGACTACAAAATTTGTTTAGGAGTCTTTGGTGAGGGACTTTGTCAAAGGTCTTTTGGAAGTATGAGTAAAAATATCTACTGGATTGCTCCAGTCTATCTGCTTATTGACACTCTCCAAGAACTCTGACAGGTTAGTGAGAAAGGACTTACATTTATGGAAGCCATGTTGATTCTTCTTCAGCAAGGCTTGTCCCTTTATGTGCTCACTGATTCTGTTTTAATAATGCTTTCAACCAATTTACCCAAAAAAATGATTAAGCTAACTGGCCTGTAAATCTCTGGATCCCCCTGGATCCCTTTTTAAGAATTGGCTTTACATTGAATGTTCTCCAGTCCTTTGGTATGGAGATTGATCTTAGGAACATACAGTGGTACCTTGGCTCACGAACTTAATCCGTTCCAGGACTTTGGTCGTGACCAAATTGGTCATGAGCCAAGTTAAATTTCCCCATAAGGTTCAATGTGCATAAGGTTAGTTCTGTAACCATTTTTTAAATCAGAAAAATGTGAAGCAAAGTGACAAAAAACAACAAAGATCATGGCTATCTCTCCTCCCCCACTCTGAGCACGAGTGCCGCCATCTCCCCCCCCCCCCACCCAGCACAACTGCGATTGCACCCATCATCCCTGCACACACCTGTCATCCCGGCGCTCTGAGGGGTGGAGAGACAGGCGCAGGCGCACGGGGGGGGAGGCGGGTGCAATCGTGCTGGTGGGGATCGTGCTGCAAGACTGTGGTTGCACTCCTGCAGGAAAGACGGGTGAGATCTCAGCCATCTCCCCCCACCCCCCGCCCCCACCATGATTGTGGTTCTCTCTCCTCTCGGGGTGGGGGGAGATGGCCACGATCATGGTCAGCACCCAATGCAGAGTTTGCAACCTGAGTCAAAAATTTTCTGAACTTTTTGTTCGCGACTCGATTTGGTCGTGAACTGAGGCATTTGTGAGCCGAGGTACCACTGTATTAAATACTTTGGTAAGAAGGGCAACAATTTCATATTTAAGCTCTCTAAGAACTGTAGAATGGATACCATCTGGACCTAGTGATTTGTTAGCCTCCAGTTTGTCAGTAAGGCTGAGTATTTCATCTGTTATCACTATTATTTGCCTTAATTCCTCGGAATGCTCTTCAGAATATATAAGTTCAGGAACAGGTATCTGTTTTGCATCCTCTGCTGTGAAGACAGATGGGGAAAATCATTCTGCTTCTCTACAATCGCCTTATCTTTTAGTGCTTTAATTCTGCTATCATCCAATGGTCCAACTGCCTCTCTAGCTGGTTTCTTTCTTCTATATTTAAAGAATTCTTTATTGTTGTCCTCAAAATGATTCCTTGCTCCTCTTAATGTCTGCTTGCATCTCCCTTGCACAAGCTTGCGCTCCCTTTTGTTTTCCTGATTTGGGCAAGAGTTCCATTTCGTAACGAAAGGCTTCTTCTCTTTAACAGCTTTCTTGATTCTACTTGTTAGCCATGGTGTTGACCTCTCAGAGTTTTTTGCGACCTTTCCTTACTTGTGGAATGTACACAATCTGCACCCCTATTATTGCAGTGTTGAGTAATCTAACATTCGGAAGGGATTTAACCAACTTGAGTCCCCTATTCAACTGCTTTTTACCAGTTCCCTCATTTTAGTGAAGTTTCAATTTTTTGAGGTCAAACATAACTGTGTCAGACCTTTTGAGAAATCTTCCACCTAACCATTTATTAAATCTAAGAGCATTGTGGCTGCTGTTTCCAATAAATTCAACAACATTTACATCCGATGCTATGTCCTGGGCCACCCCAACTAGGTAAGGCAGGAAAGTATACTGGTGTATAGATTTTAAACTATATCATATATACTGGGGTACGGAAAGTGTGTGTGGTGGGGGAAACAAGGATTCGTCCTTTCTCCTGTACAGTGGTCATAATGAAATTACATGTGCACAGCTAGGCACACTTCTGCTGCTTTCTCTGAAAGGGAAGATGCTCCTAGGGACAGAAAAATCATGCTCTTCCATCTATGCTATATGGCTTGGTCCTGGTTACAGAATCTCCCCTCCCTGCACCACCAACCCAGGTGACTGCTATTTAAGAATAAATCAAATGCATATAAACATTTTTATGTTATTTGACCATCATTCTGCCCCCCCACCCCCATGGAACCTAAGATCCATCACCTGAAGTGGCTGCCTCAATAAGACAATATAGAAATGCATTGTTGTACATTAAATCTCAGTGAAGAAACCTTACTGTGATTCCTTGTGCTTCTACTCTGTATTCTGATGCCTGTGATGCATGCAATCTGCCTTACTCAGCTGCTTATGAAGCATTCACTTGCCAAGCTGGCAGTCTTCCCTCAGAGGTGCCTTAGAGTTAACTGAACAGCACTTAAGAGAATTGAAGCACATCATGTGAATTTTAATAACTACCAGGAGGTGTTTCTATTACTTAATGGTGTTGTAAGGAATGCACTAGTTGAAACAAAGGTGACCCAAAGAGGGGAAGGAATGGAAATTTGTGTAAGGAAAGAAAGGATCACAGCTAGATAGTTCTTATCTATATTTTGTAGTAAATGTGGTTCTCAATATTTCTGAATCTTTTGACAGTGATGGGATGTAGAGACATTATTTGGCTTTTTCCCCAACAATAGAAAGCAGGAAATTGTATTCTTCTAAATACTTGCTGGCTGGTAAACCGAGTCAGCTGCGTTTGAGTACTATGTAACTCCAAAAGCTTGTATAGTTTCTCACTAGAGTCTGGCCCAATAGAAGCTGTTATTTAGTTATTGATCACCTTCCCTATCTCTTAAACCTTGTTAAGAATTCAGATCTGACTCCAGTTAACTAATGGATGGGACAGCTGTCTTTCCATTGTGGTCACAAGGGTGCCTGCATAGTGCTGAGGGTTACACAAATCTGGCAGCCCTCTGCTTAGATCCAGAAACTCAGCCTGTAACCCCAGAAATGCTAGAACTGCCAGTAGGGGAAAAAGTGAAAGCAAGGTACTTCATCCATGCTCAGGGACCTTCTCATTTTTCTCTGCCCATGTTCCATGTCCAAGTCCTGCCACTGAAAGCAAATTCTAGGGCTGCATCCTGGAGAGATGTGGCTCAGATTGAGCCCTGAGCAATGAATCCTCTATCCTGGCATGATTGGGGATTATGTTCTCCAGTTTAGAAACAAGGTCAGTATATGAAACGTTTGTTGAGAGAACATGGCAAGCAATGTTTGTTGCTGCTTTTTCATTCTCTGCCTAGTTTAAACCTGGAGGAATATTGTCTCTGGCTCCATCTTCTGGCTTCTGTTCTCTGCTGGAGTAAGTTAGGATGACTGGACATGCAAGGAAAGCACTGAAATCCACAGAGGTGAATTTTGAGGTAGCAGTGGATAGCAAATTCAGTACAGTCATTGTCATTTATCTAGTGGGAAGCACTTATTTCCAGAGTGTGTCTAGGGACAGAATCATTGCTCAGCAATGATTCCAAAAATCTGTAGCACTTTCAGTGGGTACATTACAACTGAAAAGACTGCTGGAGTTTCACTGAATGGGGGAACACCCTGTGGTACCAGTGGGTGCCACACCAGGTGTGCAAGCAGTGAGGATTTGTGGAGAGAGGGCCTGTGGAGTTGGAAGCCACATGGAGTCAGGCTTGCTGTTCTGCCTGCTCCTCATCTGATTAGGTTTAGGCACAGGGCCACTTCAAAGCATGCAGAGGGGATGCAGGGGAAGTGACACAGAGATTCAGTATATGCTACAATGACATTTTGAAGTACTTTGCACTTGCTTTGAGACACCTTTGTTCAAACCATTGGCTGCCACTGTTTTATTAACAGCAGGGTTGCTCCAGGTTCATTGGACCTGGGCAAAAATGCACAGTGCCCCCTTCCACCCAGCAAATGCACACTACTCCATCACTTCCCGAACTCATAAACCTGGAAGTGCCTATCTTCTGGACTGAAACACATCCTTGTGATCTCATCTGAGAGCCTCCTCCAGCCGCCTCCTCCAACATAGGTTTAGAGGTGACAAGAAGAGGGAGAGCCTTCTTAGCTGTGTGCCCTGCCAACACTCCCCACAGAGAATGTTAAGGTTTAAATCTTGTGTAAACTGCCCCAAGAGCTTTGGTTATTGGACTTACATAGACATGTAATTTATTCATCAACATCCTTTCCCAAGTGCTGAAAACATAACAAGGAGGCGAGTTTAGGGACTGTGCCAGAACAGAAGTTAGACCCTTCTTTAGTAAGAACACACCGCTTCGTGCTGCTTCTTGATTCTCAGTCCACCATCCTTGCTGGTTTCTCGGATGTCAAGGATGTGGAGTTAAGGATTCAGCCTAGTCTGGAGCTCTGCCCAGGTAGGCACTTTAAACATGCATGGCCCCTGGGCGGTTTGCTCAGCATTCCTGGCCCTGGTGTCTTCTGGTAAATATTCAACTTCAGGTTTTCCAGTTCCAAAGAGAAGTTTTTCATGTTCAGCTTTATGCCCTGGAGGCTTTCTTCATGTAACTTGAAATCTCCACACTGGGCCTGTTTTGTGATCCAGGAACGAAGATAGGTATAGCATTTAAAAGGTGATTGTGTCAGGTTCTTTACCCACACTGCAAACCCAGCTTTCCAGTTTTCATTGAGACATAAATCATTATCTTTATCCGTAATTGTATTTATATGCCATCCAATAGCATTGTGCTACAATATGTTCCATCCAGCCCAGAATCCTTTAAGGGAAGGCAGGCTTAGGAACAATTGTCCTAGACCTCACATACAGAACTAGCTATATCAGCAGGAGCCAACAGCACACGCCAAGTAAGAAACAAAAGAAGGAGAGAGTCTTTAAAATATCCTTTCCCAGAAAGTAGCTGAAGCATGCTGGGAGTTGTAGTCCGATACATCTGGAGGGCATCAGGTTGGAGAAGGCTGCTTTAAAAGGTCCTGAGCACATTCTGAGGTGAAGGCAAACATAATGATTTTAGCACAGTGGAGGCACTCTGGAAAAACACTTATTTTGTTCAACTTAGCCCCGATCTCTGTGCACACAAATATTATCATTTCTGTCATTTTGCAACAGAAGTAAAAGGTGGCTGCCCAACACCAGGAAGCTTCCTCTCCCCCCCAAAATCTCCAGAGCAGTTTCCATTTCAAATATTTTTTCCTTTTTTAATGAATGAAGCAAAACATAAAACTGCTAAATATACACTTGATGACACTTTCAAGAATTACAGTGCTGGCAGACTACCTGAAGCATGAGGTACAACTGCCAGTGGAACTAACATTTGATCTGCTGTTACGTATATCAAGATTGCAAACCTGGGAGTCATCTGGGCTCGTATTTTGACAAAGGGACCTTTCATGAATTCTCTTTTTGTATTCTATCTCCACCCATACTTACTGAGCTGCCTGTAACTCTAGCATATTCACGATGCACTTGAAGTGTGGAGATCCGTAAAAGCAAAGCCTATTTATTATATTTTCTTCTTTTCCCACCCCATAAATAACCACATTGATTTTATGTTCACTCCTAGATAACATGGTTCTCATCTCTTCCCATCCCTTGGCTTTGCTGACTCAAGAGAAACAATTCCCGGTACCATTTTTGCTATTTTGAAGAAAGAGTCATCTTTCCATCATTTCTTTAAGGCCTTTTTACAGTGAAATATGTTATCTTACAACCTAGAGTTTGTCTACAGTACTTTTTCAATTGGGCACATGCCCTTGTTGTGGAGTGTTTTTCATGCTAAGGAAGCCTAGCATGCTATGTAATTTGGAAGAATTGCTGTGCTGGTTCGGATGGAGGTGGTTACTTCTGTTTGCAGGACACCCAAAAGGAAGGATGTTTTGATGATATTTCAGAATAAATGCTTCTGTCATTCTCTGACTGGAAGGTGTTTATTGTGTTGAAGCTGTTTGTTTTTATAACTGGACAGTCAACTTTTATTATTTTAGCTGAAGGCCATAGCATGTCGTACAGAATATAATTATTAGAATAAACATTATTGTAATAAAAAGCCCAATAAAAATAATGAAAGACACTGAAAAGATTCAAATCAGAGAAATTAGATATGGTATCTAGAACCATTCAGAGAAATATAAGTATCAGTGAAGGTTATAGACAACCTGGTGATTCTTTTATTTTGAATGGTTATTGGACCAGGCAATCCTGCCTGGAGTTTGGGAGAGCTGCAACACAGGCGCTTCCTGGGGACCCGCAGCTGCTTTCCTCTCTGCCTTACTTCTTTCACCCCTTCCTGAGTTTAGCACAGAACCACCAGAGAGGTTCCCACAGTGGCTGGGGGTGCAGGAACACAAGGGCAGTTCACCCCAGTTGAGGGGAGATCTCTCAGCTCTGGGAGGGAATGCTCCTGTCACCCCAGGGACGCCCTCCCGGTAATCATGGAACTGCACCTTCAGCTCTCCAACAGCATCTTCAGACTGAAAAATAAAGACACTCCCTCCCCTCCGACCCCCATTTAATTCTTGGTAAGGGCTGGGGCAAAAGATCAGGGAAGTTAAGGTTCAATTTGGGTTTGGTGCTGTCTATTACATGTGTACCCTTCCTTTCAATAAAATATGCCCAAGCTGGCAAACAGTAAAATCAACAACCTCAACAACAGTGGTATGAAACAACCTCAAATATCAAAGAAGGTGCACTCTTATTAGACAGAAAAAAGGCTATTTTATGCTGAATTATTACAGCTGAGCTATGGCTGGCTTGGGAAACATGACCATTGTAGAACTTTTTCTGACTAAATGTGCTGATTCAGTTGCAATTGCTATTGTGGTTTGTTTTAAAATAATTCTGTGTGTGTGTTTTAACCTTTGTTAACTGCCCAGGGAGTTTCAGCTATTAGACAGTATAAAAATTAAACAAACATGCACAGGATTGCACACTAAGAGTAATACAAATAGCAGCCAGTTGAAACATAAGAAAATGAAAATATGGGTTAAAAGCAGCAGAGAAAACAAATCAGCACCATAGGCCAAGCAAAGGCCGCATTCACATGTTACAACAACCCACCCTAACAATAAGACAATTGGATTCACCATGGGTTGTTGGCCTCCCCTCCCCTCTTGGTCCTTCACCTGAACCCGGGGGGGGGGGGGACATCACAGGAAGTATGAGTCATTCCCCTTCTCCCCTGCAAGACATTTCAGACTCTTTGTGGCTGTTATTTTCTTTTTCCCATTTTTTTGATGGGGTAGGGAGATCATAAAAGCCAGCTGTTTTGAAAGCTATGAGCAGACCCTTCAAAGCTCTTGGCGGCACATTGGATTGCCAAACATTTTTTTTAAATACATGCAAAAAAAGTGCACAAACCTTTTTAAAAATCACTGTAGTTGTGCAGCTACAACTGCAGACATTACCCAGAAGAGGCTGCAAATACACTTTTCTCCACTTTGGTTTGTCTTGAAGCTGCCAAAAGGTGCTAATGCTCTTTAACCAAAAAATGGGGGTGGGCAGGGAGAGTGAACCCTCCCCTAACAGTAAGGTCCTTTGGTTCCCACAGGGTGCACTTTCTTCCCAAGCCTCTAGGTGTTCAGAAAAATGCAAATATGCATCCCGCCAACTTTTCTTCAAGGGAAAAAGCGAGTTCCAAGTACTAGCTGGCCACTCGGAGGGTGACTGACATCAGTGCTCTTCAGGGGAAGAATGGCGGGGGTGGGTACTCTTGCCATGGGGGTCACTAGCTGACTTGGTTGCATTTGATGAGGGCAGTTGTCCAGGTTTGGAGAATACAACGGCTGACTGTAAGTAGAGCAATCCTACCACAGCCTGTGGGTTGTTGGGGTGGTTTGTTCTCCCCACACAAGCCACCCTGGGGAAACTGGTAGCCACCCAGTTTTGGGTGGAACAGAGGGAAATGCGGCTTCAGAAGGTCTCAATGCACAGACTAAGGTGGTTCTTCAGGTAAATATTGTTGCTTCATAGATGAGCAGCAGCAGCAGAGGTGGGAACACATTTTGATACTTCATGGGTCGCAAGGCCAAGTAGCAACATTAAATAAACACTGGCTCTGGTGAGTCCTGGCTCAGAGGGAACCCTGTCTGTAACTCCACGTCTTTCATAGATTCATAGAATAGTAGGGTCAGAAGGGGCCAAGAAGGCCATCGGGTCCAACTCACTGCTGGATGGATGCCACGTCACACCATCCCACTCAGTCCAGTTTCACTTTGAATGCCTCTAGTGTGGGAGAGCCCACAACATCTCTGGGCAACTGGTTCCACTGTTGCGTTTTTCTGACAGAGGTTTTTCCTACTGTCTAGCTTGAATCTGGTGCACTGCAGTTTGAGTTCATTGTTCTATGACCTACACATGAGGATGAGTGAAACATGGTCTTTTCCTTCTTTGTGAAGCCTTTGGGGTACTTGTTGAGTGCTATAATATCCCCTTGATAGTCTTCTCAAGGCTAAACATGCCCATCTCTCTCAGTCTCTCATCATATGGCTTAGTTTCCAGACCCTGGATCATCTTTGTTGCCCTCCTCTGAACCTTTCTAGTTTTTCTGCATCCTTTTTAAACCTGGGTGCCCAGAACTGAAGGTGAGGCCTGACAAATTCTGGGGAAAGGGGAAGTGTCCTGGAAGTGATGCTTGTATTTATGCATCCCAAAATAGTGTTTGCCTTTTTGTGGCTGCATTTCATTGCTGGCTCATGTTTAACTTGTCGTCCATAACTCCAAAGTCTTTTTCCTTTTCAGTGCTGTTGAGTCAAGTATTCCCCATCTTGTATCAATGCATTTGGTCTTCTTATCCTAGGTGGAGAACAAGGCATTTGTCCCTGTTGAATTTCATTCTGTTGCTTTCCTCCCAGCATTCCAGAAGATCTAGGTCACCCTGGATCTGCTTCTTGTTTCCAGGGTGTTAGCTGTTCCACCCAGTTTTCTGTCTTCTGCAAATTTAATTATCATTCCCTGGATTTCCTCACCTGTATCATTAATAAAGATGTTGGAGAACACTGGTCCTAGGAAGTAAATTTCTCCTGGATGAGAAACTGAGGAGTTTTGGAATAGACCAAAGCACTGCCTGATGGATTAGGGCATGGTTGACTGACCGAAAACAGAGGGTAACCATTAGTGGGGAATCATAGGGGTGGCAGCCAGTGACAAGCGGGGTCCCCCAGAGCTCTGTCCTGGGGCCGATCCTGTTTAATATTTTCATCAATGACATGAAAGAAGGGGTGAACAGTCTGCAGATCAAATTCACAGGCGATACTAAAACTGGAGCAGTGGCCACAACTGAGGAGCAGGTACTCCAGATCCAAAAGGATCTGGACAGACTATAGAAGTGTCGGACACTGTGCGTCTAGCAGTGTTACAGCTATGAGACACTTTAGACCATCTGCCGCACACTGATGCCTGCTAGTGGGAAGCTGTATCTCTTCTCTGTATTTCAGGTGTAGAGGTCATTAGAGCCACAAGATGGCAGCAGCTAACTGCTCACCTGATGCATCCCAATTTCCCACTGGTGATCCACCGCTTTCCCAACGCTCCCCAGGGGCAGGATGCACAAAAGATTATCTCTTCACAAGCAATACTGAGGGAGCTTTACTTTATCATGGCCACAAACACAGTTGACAAGCCAGCATGTATGAGAACATAAGCTGTAATATGCACACAGTCCACTTAAGCACCATGGGAATAAATGGGATTTTAAGTAGCCTAACTGTGTACTGATTTGCAGGCTTACATTTAATTTTAAAATAGCTTGATCAAAATTAATGATGGAAGGACAACCTCAAGCACATGCCGAACTCAAATATAATAAGAAAAATAGGAAAGCGAACTTATATCCAACGAACTAGAAAGTCAGGTGTTTTTGTACCCTGTATTCCTTGCACAGCGTGTGTGGCAGGGAGGCAGAATGGGGCCTTGTTTGCAGGATGGTATCACTGTCACTGGACTAGATAGCTAGGATGCAAGTTAGGCAAGTTAAGAATGGGGGGTGTCAGTGGGACCTGCAATGAAGCAATGTCGTGTGGATTGCCGCTCCTTGGGATTCCAGACACGGCTTTCTGAGCCCCATCCATTCTTTACTTTCTAATTCCCCACAACAGCCAGTCCACCTTCCATAGCCACTGAACACGCTCAGTCCTCATAAGGTTGTTTTGGGGGATGGCCCCCTCCTTAGGATTTCTTTCTAAAGGTATTTTATGTTTGTCCAAACTTCAGCATTCCCTGAGTCTGTTAATATCACCCTTTTGTGTGTGAATCGTGCCATTTTGGCTACAGAATCAGGTATTTATAATAAATACAGGTATTTATAGCATGAACATCTCAGAGGAAATGAGACTGTAGCATATGAAATAAGGTGAGTGTGTGGGGGGGATGTCTGTGCGCGTGTCGCTCTCTCACACACACACACGTATGTGTGGGAGGGTGGACATACCTGTTTTTAGGAAGTTTTATCTGCTATAGCTTCTCCCAAGTAAACCAAGCAAGTGTGCTTAGGAGAAGGTACTGAGAATTCTGTTTAAGACGCTTACCATTTCTTAGAACTACGTTTCCCAGAATTCCTTATAAAGGAACAGTAACAACCCAATTGATTTAAGTTGTAAGGTAGCCATGTTTTCAGATAGCTTTTATAGCATAGAAACACACTGGGCATTAAAAAGAAAGCTGAAAGAGTGCTGGTGAATGTGCATTTCAGCCTACCTGGATATCTTCTAAACTTACAGTAACTGTATGTAAGTAAAACCATTCCAGAAGGCGCTTATAGGTGAGTATGCGTTTCTTAACAAATCTGTCTGAGGTTTTCAGAGTTTCTGTAAAGGATTATGGGTAAGTTACTATAAAAGGTCAACAGCTTCCCAATTTATTGTTAAATTCATTAACAAATTCACTTTTAGAGTTGCAGCAGAAATTTAATGTTGATGTTGATA